CATAGAAAGTAATCGAATTGGAGAATGATGTCTGAATCAAAGTTGTAGCCAGATGAGTTAGCTTTCCAACGCATTTTGAATCGCTTCAATCGGATATCGGAATACAAAGTTATGATAAAAATACTGAAAGAATGTGCAGCTACCTGTTTAAAACAAAAAATTCCGTTACAAATTCCGTTAAAATAACAAATTCCGTTAGTTTTTCCGTTAAAAACAAGAAATTCCGTTACATAGCCACTTTTAATATATAGAAGATACTCTAAAAAATCACTTTAATAAAATTTATATGAAAAAATATGGCCAAAAGAGGGGTTATATTTTTTCATTATGAGTGTGTTTGATTGACATGGAACATATTTCCTAGAAAAAAATATTTTCCTTAAAAAAAAGGAAAATTATGCATATTTTCAAAAGTAGGAAAATATTTTCAATGGAAAGAAATAACAATGAAGCACTCCAAAGTAGGAATTTGGATGAAAAACTGATATTTTCTATGAAAAATTAATGCAATCAAACACATCCTATGTGTTTTTAGCAAATTTAACAAGTCATTTACATTATATTATTGAATAGGTAAGTTCTTTCTTTTTTTTTTTTTCCCTTCAATTTAATTCAAAGTAAGGGGTAGAATAGTGATTTTATAAATTATGACTTTCTAAATATTAGGGAGCTATAACTACATTAATTGAAAGGGGTTAAGGAACCTTAACCCTAATTTTTTGAATAGTTAAAATACCAATGAATAACACCATCAACAAAATAAAAAGTAAAAGGGAAAAAAAAAAAAAAACCTAAAGAAAATGACGTAGACATGTAACATATTACATTTTTTTCAAAGAGTAGTTTGAAGACTCAGTGAAGAAGTCGTCCCAAATCTCTGTAAATGCCTTAACAATTACTGTATGATGCTGCTGTGAATTTAGAGAGAGAAAGCACTGCAAAAGCTGCTCCAGTTCCATGGCCTCAAACATCTCATTCCCCATTATCATTTCTAACATTGATTTCTTGAAATCCTTATAAGGGTTCAAAGATTTCTTCAAAACAGCAAAGCTCTCACTCACCTTTCCATTGATCATGCATGGCATCATCCTCACCGGATTTGTCTCGACGGTCGTGGTTTTCCAGCCATTTTTCGATCCCCGGATCTTCACATTCTTCGGTTCCTTTTTCCTATTTCCATTGAGGGACTCCACACCTGTCTTCTCTAATGGACCATTGGAATCATAAGAAGAATCAATGCCTGTATGAGAGGATAAAATCAGGCTTTCAGTAGAACATTTGTATAAATAAATGTGTTTAATATCTGACAGTTCAAATTTTTCAAGGAGGTGTCTCCATACAGTATCGTAACCCACAAAAATTCTAGCTATTAAGATTAAATTTTACCGTTTCCTAATTATGAAAATTATGTATGTATCATGCCTTTAATTATAAAATTGTAAAAAATGAATATAGCATGTACATGAGAGAGGTATAAAAATTTAAATAAATAAATAGATGTATCCTCCTTAAAAGCATAAGCTTTTAAATATTTTGTTCTAAGATCTAAGTCTCAGGAAAATCTATTATGAAAAATGTACTTGAAGTCTTTATCTTTGATATTAAAAAAAAAAAAAAACCGGTTTATTCGCAAGGTGTGTAAAAGTGTAAACTGAACTTATTTAGAAAAATATGTTCAGTCTCTAACGTCAAAAGTAAGTTTACAGACACGTTAATGTCACCACCTTCCGTAAAACTAGGTTTTGATCTCATTTTTCGGGTTTTCTTCTTCTTTCGAGCTGGTGGAGGTGCAATAGGCAATGCAGTGATTCCATCAGAATCATCTGAATTCCGATGAGGCCCATCTTTCTTGTAGTGATGATCAGGTGCCACGCAAACTGTGCATGATCTTGATTGACACACAAAATCAAGTGGCATGATCTTTGATCCCACAACATTGAGGTCTTGATTTGGTGTGGAAGGTGGAGGATTTGGGATGATGATGGGATAAGCAATATCAAATGCCTTGGAATTTACAGGAAAGAGAGTTTTAGGCAATGGAGTTATAGGCGAAGAAGAAGGTTTTGTGGAGCGACATAATCGGAAGGAAGAAAGAGAAATTCGAAACTTGGGATATTTGGCCATTGAAACTTGATCATCCATCACGTACACATATTCTTATATACATACACACAGAGACTCAGAGAGAGGGAGAGAGAGAGAGAGATTTCTCATATGAGAAAATAAAAAAGAAATATTGATAATGTTTAGAACTTTTCAAAATATGTTCATCCTTTTTTATAATCAAAGATTACTCATTCTTTCTCATTGATTATTGTTTCTCCTTCATCAATACTCTGTGCTTTCTTCAACCGAACAAAATAAATTTTGACCTAGAGGTGTCCATTTCTGACAAATTTGCAAGAGATCTGAAAACATGTTTGTTCAACATGAAACGAAAACAAAAGCATCTACTTGAGATGATCGTAAGAAAACTCGAGAAACTAGAGATGGACGTACTCGGTCAAACTCGACTCTATGGTCAAACATCTAACCCTAGTACAATTACCTGACACACCTTTACAAAAGAATAGTAAAAACATATAAAATCATTTATAATACGGTAAAACAAATATTCAATCTTCACTTTTAACCATTAAATAAAAGATAACTATTTTGATCTAGAGATAGAGGCCGGCTTGCAAGTCTTGTTGACACAGCAATTGGGATGGACCAAATCCGAGTGATGCAATAAGGTTTATAGTTTATACCTTGAAAGCTACATGTAAATTCCTTGTGAGATCATCACATAACATAACACACACATGGCGGCATAGACATGATGAGCTGGATCGATACAGCTGTAATGCGTTCATTTGACTTTCACAGGTTAACACTACACCAAATGATACTTAAAAATGTTAGTTTGAAACAATATTATGAATTAATATTCGATTATTCAATTATTCGCGTGTTTTAATTTAAAATAGTATAATTTAAAAGATTCATGATTATATAAGATGTCACAAGTTGTATACTTGATAGTTCAAGTATAGTGAGACACAATTTGTGATGAGATCAAAATATATCGTTCGTAATCGGAATATAATGTTGGACGCTTTGTGTTGATAAGATTGAATTGTTTTTATTGAGATTTATCTAGATATTGGAAATAAGAACAATGATATTTTTGGTGCACATTGATCAGGACTGCATAGATGACACATTTGTGATCTCTATAAATGAGACCCTACTCAATTATCGAACGAGTCACCTAAATCCCTAGCGAATAATGTACCTTTGATTGCTAGTTCAAGTTTTTTGAGGTACCAATAAGTGATATCTTAATTGAAAGATCGATCTCGGTGCTTTGAGAATCAGGATGAAACAGTTAATGATTACATACTTCCAATAAAGGAATCTGTTAATCATTACGATGAGACTATCGTCAGTCAGGCATTCTCTATAAGCATTTGAACCTAAGCTCAATAATCTGACGATGGGATCGTTGGACTCTTATGTTGTTTTTTTTCACAAAGGATTTACGTTATGAAAATGGGACTCAAAAGGGATATACATGTTGGAAGGGCAAAATGGTCATTTTGCCAATTTCATCATAATGACGATCAAATGAGGGTTGATTTGTGTAATGATGATCAGAGGATATTGTTTTGGGATCATGATTTGCTTCTCGAAAGTGCAATTTCGACTTTTTGGTCGAATAAGTCGGAATTAATATGTGTCTTAGCCCCCTGTTTGGTGGTCTTTAAACTTTTAAACCTTGTTTTGAATTTTTTTTTAAGAATGTGTGATTAAAAAGATGAAAAAATTTCGGATTTACGTGTAGAATATTTTATTGTGTGAGTGTGTGATTGAAAATGAGTATGAAGAATAAATTAAAGTAAATTAAAAAAATACCAAACATGGGCTTGATTGATCACGAGTTGACCCAATTAGAAACATTTATTGGAGCGGTCCTTCTCTTAGGTCTAATAAAGGTGTGCGACTTAATTGAAATAATACAATAGAATTCAAGAAAAGCAGTGGCTATAACTTACCGCCGCGGTCGCCACTTTGGCGACGATAGTGGATGCCCTTTTTGGGGGCTACCGGCACCCCATACACTAAAATCATATGCATTGGTTCCATCACTAAATTATTTAGAAGTGGTTAAAAAATTATATTTAATAATTTGGTGCCATTATAATTATTTATATTTGTTTGATTAATTATTATATGAAATTTTAAATTTTTAAAATAATAAGTGGGAACCTACGGCCTCCTCCGTTATCCTATTTGTTATTAATATACAATATGTCTAGTATCGAATTACATCGATCTTCCTAAATGAAGACTATGTAATTTTGATTAACTGAAATTGGATCTAAAAATAGAATTTTTTTAAAAGTGAAATGATGAGGTAATTATCCTATAGATAATATTTCATTTTTCTCGAATATTTTAAAATTATTAATAGAGGTTAATACACTTATATATGAAAATTTTGAAGGATTTCCTATAGAATATTCCGAAAAAATTATCCATAGGCCAATAATAATCAATCCTCATTTTAATTGTGGCATGATATGCCTAGCTTAATATAATGAATGGGCTGTATACAACCTTATTGATAATTGCATTGGCCTCCTATAAAGCACGTGTTAAAAATTGCAAGAGTTTTAGATCTTTAATTAAAACTATAGTTTTAGGTCTAAATTTGCTTACTTACATACATGCATCATTCAAAGATTACTGTTCATTTTATTAATACACGAATAATTAATTTTACAGAAAATGTAGCTTAATTCATTATCGGTGATACTTAACAAAAACCTACTTGTGGGAGAAAACTACACTGTCTGGAAAAAGAATCTTAACATTGTTCTTACAGTTGAAAAAACAAAAAATTGTACTGATTGAAGTTTGTCTCGAGACCCCTAAAGATGACTCCACGAAATCTCAAAAGACTTCATATAAAATGGGTGTCATTCTGATATGATAACTCGTCGCTACATTTTAGTATCCATGTCAAATGTATTGCAACAAAAATATCAGAATATAGAAAATGCTTTTGACATGATGAAAAGTCTTCAAGAGTTGATTATAATCTACACAAAATGAACATGTCTTTGATGGAATTAATGAAAGAGTTCCAAAGTGCAGAATCTATTTTGAAGGCCAAAAGTGGAGATGCTTTGATTGTGACGGTTGGACCTTCCCATCCTAAGCCTTCTTATCGCAAAGGAGAAACAAGAGGAAGATGACAAACAAAAAGACAGATGGCAACCGAAAAGGGATGGAAACTAGTACTGATGGAAAACCAAAGGGAAAATGTTTTATTTGTGGAAAAAATGATCATTAGAAGAGAAATTGCCCACATCACCTAGCTAAGGGAAAGCAATGTAAAGGTAAATGCTCTATTCATTGAGTTTTGCTTAGTGGTTCATTATACTAATACCTAAATTGTAGATTCTAGAGACACTAATTATGTTTGTAATTCTTTGTAAGGGTTCAAGGTAACCAAGCACCTCAGTAAAAAGGAGTACACTCAAAGCTGTTGGCACCCTTACTTTATATTTTGAAAATCGTAGAGATTTGATTTAAGACGACTGTTATTAGGTTCCCAAACTTACATAGAACTTAGTTTTCGTTCCACTTTTATATTGTATTGGTTATTTGGTACTTTTTACCCCTTTTACGGTGGCTATTAAGTTGAATAATTATGTTATATGCTTGAGTCATATGGTTAAGAGTCTGTATCTTAAGTATTATGATTGGCTCTATATATAACACTACCACTGCTAGGAAAATAAAGATGTTATTTAGTACTATTGAAACACTCTTATGGTATCTTAGGCTGATCATATTAATCTAAATAAGATTTAAAGATTGGTGAAGCATTGACCTTTAACTGAGTTAGAGGTGGAATCCATACCAACTTATGAATCTTGTATAGAAGGTAAGATGACCAAAAGACCTTTTAATGCTAAAGGACTGAAAGCGAAAAAAGTTCTGGAATTAGTACATTTCGATGTTTGTGGACCCATTAGTACTCGGGCTCAAGAAGGATACAATTATTTCATCACCTTCACAAATGATTAATCTACATTTGGATACATATACCTTATATCACACAAGTCTGAAGCTTTAGAGACACTCAAGGAGTTTTGAACGGGGGTTGAGAAATAATGAGGCAAGAGTATTAAGGCCATTCGATCGATAGAATGAATATCTATCCCAAAAGTTTAAGGTTTACTTATAGGATAATGGGATATTGTTCCAATTGAGTGCACCAAGGACTTCGCAATATAGTGGTGTTTCGAAAATAAGAAATCGTTCTATTTTAGATATGGTGAGATCAATGATGAGTTATTCTTCATTGCCTATTTTCTTTTGAGGATATGAACTACAAATGGCCATTTACATCTTGAATTTTGCACCATCTAAGTTAGTTCCCAAGACACCTCTTGAATTATGGAATAGATACAAGCCTAATTTACATCAGATTCAGATATGGGGGTGCCCAACACGTGTTAAAGGGAAAGACGAATAAGATGGAATCAAGATCAGAGGTTTGTCTCTTTATAGGATATCTAAAAGAACAAGGGGTTACTACTTCTATAGTTCTTTAGATAAGAAGGTATTTGTTAGTACAAATGTAACCTTCTTAGAGGACAAGTATATAGAAGAACACAAGTTTACTACAAAAATTATATTGGAAGAGGTGTTCAAACATGGTTCAAACAACCCGGTTCTAGATTTTTGCATAGGGTCAAACAGTAATGACTTGGAACATCCTATTGAACCAATGGTTGCTAATGATGTAAATGAGCAATTGATACACATAGAACCCTATGGACAAACAAAATTAGAGATAGTAGAGAATGAGGCACCCATTACTCTACCTCCACATACATATCACGATAGGGATAATGAGGAGGTTGGTCCTAATGAAAGATAGGACCAAGCAATGGGAAGAGAAGAATGATCTTTATTTGGACGAAACGATCAGGCACGTTGATAAGCATATTTTATGTACTTATTCAAGCTTTAAAATATTGATATTTTATTGTTATGTCTGTAAATTATACCTTAATCTTATGCATATTGCATTTATTAGGAGAAACTCGATAATTGGGCGTGAA